TCGACCAGCTCCGCACTAGACGGGACCTTCCCACTGAGACTCCTGGGTCTTTTCCAGGGGGGAGGGGGACCCTTTTGGGAAAAGGGAAGAGTACGGGCTGCTGCCCATCATTAACGAGGAAGCTACAGACAGCTCATCCCAAAGTTCCGCGAGTGCTCCAAACAGGAATTCATGGAGCCCAACTAGAACTCAGGCACCAGTGCCTACTCCAGCCAGGGAGTCACCCCGGGGGCATAATCACTACTCACCCGCATCACTCAGTACTCCAGTCAGGGAGGATATCCGGGAGCGTCCAAACAAACCACACCCTGCAAGAGAGCTGGCACACATTCCCTCTAGTTGGCCCGACACTACCCCTGTCCCTAGAAGGGGGCAAGCACACAGGGAGGTGGTCGAGGAACCAAATCCCAACTACAACACCTCTGATTTCACTCAGGGGACAACTGAGTTTTGGGACAGCACTGAAACCTCCACAAGCCCAGGGACAGAACAGGAACAAGGGGAAGGACAACCTCCTGACAGATCTTGGTCGGACCTGGGAGGTTCTACAGAATCACCCAACAGTGACAGTCACTTAAGAGGGCCAGAGAGCCTGCAGTTAGGCAGGACAACCAGGTCAAACAGAGAAAGAAGCCCTGGCCTGACGAGCCCGGTGGGCAAGCAAGCAGGCCAGGCATTGGAGCACAGTCTTTGGGAATCACCAGGGTGTAACAGGGGGGACAGGTATGCATCACCCCTCAGCCAAGGGGTACTTGGCAGGTACCCAGAAGTCAGGAGGTCACAGAGAGCCAGAAGATTTCCTAAGTATTTAGAAGATTTTGTAACTCTATTGACAAAACAGAGTTAACAGAGAACATTCCTGTACACATAGGAAAACAGAACACTGGGAACAATAGAAGCAGAGGGAATAACTGGCACAAGGTAGTATGGGCACCACGCTCACATTGGGTTGTATGTTATTATTGTATGATCATAGTCTTAGCCGGGGGGGAAGGGGTGTTATGTCCTGAGCCTGTGCAACGGTCCTGGGCAGGTGCAAGCTGCCCGGACCAGACTGGCTGTTGCCAGCACTTGCGCGCATGCGCGGGTGCTGGCGCGCCAAATGTTGCAGATTGGCCCGGGAATGGCCTATAAAAGAGGCCAGGAGATTTGGGCGTTGTCGGCGTCTTGTAACCAGTATGCTGAACAGAAATAAAGAAGTTCCTGAGAACTACAACTGCTTCTCGTGTCATTGCCATTTCGCGAAGGACGCAACAGTTATATTGATTATTTGAGATGCGAATACTTCAATATTCCTGTTTTTCACTGATGACCAAAGGAGATCAAGGACTGCTGTTTCTATTTGTTTTTGTCTATTTGATTTTTTTTGGGGGGGAATAGATCAATAAAGTAGAAATATTGAGAAATAATGATGCAATATTTCTTTAATGTATCAAATGGGATATATTAAAATTAACTGTTGATTCAGAGAGCCAGAATGAAAATTTTAGAATAAAAAATATGATTGTATGAGATCAAACTTGGGGAGAGGCAAAGAGAAAAAATTATTTATTCCCTCAAAGCAAAACAGTATCTGTAGCTCAGGGTTGAACTTTGGAGTTCTTAATGATCTGAGCCTGGATGCTTGTTTGTGTAATTGTGCAATAATGATGCCCTCTAATTTGGAATGAAAATCTATTAGCAAACAACTACCGTAAGTTTGGAGAGCACAAAAAATTCCACAAATTATGCTTTGTTTTGAATTCTTCTCCAGAAACCACACAATTGCATAAGCAGGAATTGAAGGTTGGAGAGCATTCAGAACACCAAAGTTCAAGATGAACTTTTGATAAACAAACAACTTTCATTTTTCTCCTTTCAACATGAGAGAAGATCATTGTGTACATTGTTTAAATTACTTTATCTGTTATTTTAGTCTCTTATTTTTTCCCAGAAACCATATTCCAAATGTCCAGGTACTGCCTGACTCCAGAACAACTCTAGGAGGCTCATGGTAAAACTGACAAATAAAAATACAACATAAATAAGAAACAAGATAATAACAAAACAAAACAAAGCAAGCAAGCAAACAAACAATTGGTCCGTCCCTTTAACAACCCAGAAAACACATAGCAAAGACATACCACATCAGGCTGCAGCCATCCCAGCAACAGCCTGAGAGAAAATATCATAAAATGTAGACTGATAACTGAATTTTAAGTTAGCACAGGATTAGCTCATTTTGCAAGCTAGACATCTGATTGGATAACAGAATTCTAAGGATCAGTTGGACAGTTAGAAGCAGATGGAGAACTTTCTAAAATCAAAACCTAGCAGAAAAGTGAGTTCCCTCAAATGTCCATAGGCATATCAAATCTGAATATTTTTATTAGAACCCACTTTTTATACTTGGTAGTATATTTAGTTTTGATTCTTCTCTACACAATAGGCTTATGAGTAGGTTGGGAGACTGTGTACTGTTTGGTTCAAGGTCACATCCTGGCTGTGTAGATACAGTATGTTTAATCTTGTTGCTAAATTAGCCTATATTTGGGGTACAGACATTAAAATGAATTATAAATTAATAACAAAATGAATTTACAAAACATACCAAGCCACAAAAACAAAGAAAGATTTATTACTAACTAGATTTAGACTATATTTCTCATAAAGCCATTAGATTCTTTAATTCTACAAGGTTTCAGTACCCTAGCTATGATGAGCCATGAGTTTTCTAAACTGTAGACAAGAGAGATTTCATATGTTAAACCATAATTAGCTTCACTGTACCTTAACTAAAAATAATATGTAAATACAGTTGTAGTGGTAGATTAACATGCCGTTCAATCCCACAAATTGTGATTTATTCTTCATGTCATAATTAAAGAAAATATGATATATTGTGATATATGAAATCTGCTACTATAACACTATACTATATTGTATAACTCTATACTATACTATGCTATACTATCATCAATAAATTCACACCAGGCAAAGATTTTCAGTGTTTGTTGGCTGGAAACTAGCATTTCAGGATAAATGAATTTTTTATATCAATCATAAACATAAATATTCCAAGTGAAAAAAAGTAGAAATTTGGATTATATAACTTTGCTAACTCCTTTAATTTGTCAGGGCCTTCAGAATTATTAACTAATTATACCCCCCCCCCTTTCTTCACTTGCCTTGCAAGCATTGTTTGGATAGTCAACCGTAGGCAAGATAGAGGGTGAGAGTGAGAGGGTAATCCATGCATGTATTAAAATGATCTCTGGTTGTTGTTATTATCTTCCTGGACTGAACTGCAAGTTGGATAGCAGACATGCTTAACTGTTTCTGGCATGGAGTTTGATGGGTTATTTTAAAGGATGAGGAATTGCACAAGAGATTTTGGAAGACCTTCCAGACCAACCATTCTTTATCACACAAAGTAAACAAGCTGTTTCTAAAAGCAAATGGACTTTCCCCCACCAGCATTGGATACATGATCCAGAGCACTTCCAGATGTTATTAATGAATTGTAATTTATAATACAACAAAAAGAAATCATCTGTGTTTAAAGGAATGCAACATTTTTCCCAATGCAATGTAAGCTAGGACTGTGATCCACAAGGCTAATGAGATAATAATAATAATAATAATAATAATACCCCAACAAACATCTATATCTGCCTATCCCAGGTCCTTGGTAAGGACTTGATAGGTAGACAAAAATAACAAATCTAGTCTGAACATCTGGCTAACTATTATCAATAATAATAATAAAAGTTGGAAGGGATCTTGGAGGTCATCTAGTCCAACCCTCTGCTCAGGCAGGAAACCCTATACCATTTCAGACAAATGCCTTTCCAATCTTTTCTTAAAAACTTCCAGGGTTGGAGTATTCACAACTTCTGGAGGAAGGTTGTTCCAATAAAATGTGGTTATTTTTTAAAAAATATTGTGAATGTCTTTGTTGTTTGTACTACAGTAAGCTGATCAAATCAATCTTTATTATGGTGAAAGACCAAAGAAGGTGTGGTATAAGGAATTGAAAAATATAAAAAATAGAATTATATAAGAAATTAAAAAGTATACAAACCAATCCAGCTTACTCTTTTGTAAGTATGTTTTCTTTTTCCATTTAGTCCTGGAGTTTCCTTTATAAGTAAATAAAGTTTGTTGATTGTGTTGGGGAGGCTAATTGGCAAGATTATCCCTTTCCTCTTTTATATATATAGGGACAATGATTGTAAGCCCCTAGTCTTGGATGCTCAGCCGTAGTTTCAATACAGATAAAGAGAAAGCTGAGTAGAAGTGCAAGTTGTTTTTAAAGGTCTATGGTGTGATTAGGTCTTCTCCTGGCTCTTCCCTGATCTTAGCTGAGTAACATGTTTCTTGATCTCTGTCACTGCTGTCCATATTGGTAGATTCTCTATATTTTGATTTCCACTTCCATGAGAAGTGTCCATACAGTATAGAGTTCCCAGAAGCGTGCTACCCATATCCCCAAGATAATGTAATAGTTCTCCATGGCTGGGCCTTTTCTTTGGGAGCTATTAAGCTGATTTTTCGTCCCTGCAGCAACTTCATCTGCAGTAATTTTCAGGGATGTCTTTTTATAAAATATTTCACTGGTTGAATTCTGCCTGTGAAGCTACAGTACATATAAACAGTAGCCAGCTGCCAGCCTGGTTTCTTTCCTCTGACTATTTACCAGTCCTTGGAATACCCATTGCTCTGCTTTCACTGAATTAAAAGTGCTAATTCCACAGAAATGAAGTGCTTTATGACTGAACGTAGCAGCAATAATTTCATGATGTGCTAAGAGTTAACTTATTTGATATTTGTTCATTTTCCAATTGAGACAGTGTTTGAATATCATCTTTTTTTGCAGTTTTCAGAAGAAGATGTGGCCGAGCAGATCTTATAAAAAGAAAGAGTATAGTGCATTTTTTTCAGACCTGTCAGATTTCTTGACCAAGAGTGAAAATGGCCTTTTCTGTAATGTTCCTTGTATACACATGGGTTTTCACATCATTACTTATGAAACTCGAAAGTAAGGATTGAAATCTCTTATAATTGCTATATAATTATAATAGCTTTTAAATTCTCTGATTATCTGATGAACGCAAATATACATTATACTACATGTGTATATAAAAAAAACCCTAATCTAATCTGGATAGTTAATACAGCTTTTGCTTGATCTTTTTGTTGATCAGAGATAATACTATTATAATACAGAGATAATACTATTCTGTTTGGTCGATGCTCTGTTTTTAATGATTTAAAGGAGACATATGCTTCTAGAAAAAGCTGAAGTTGCTTTAAAGAATTCCACGAATACGTGAAACTTATGTCAGTTCTAGTAGAAAAACTGGGATACTACTAAAGCACAAAATACATGATATTCTCAGGATATCCTAGCGTGGGGAAGGCATTATGGATAGTGGTACAGTTGAGTAACAACTGATGACCCTTATAAAAATTTATTTATTTAATTTTTATCCCACTTTTATTATTTTTATAAACAATTCAAGGTGACAAACATATCTTTATAGCAGCTGTGAAACTGTGGGAAAGTCAGGCCTGCTGGTCATTTTTTCTGACCAAACTCAAAAACCTTTGCCAAAAGATGGCCCACAGGCCTGTTAGCCTCAGAATTCCCAAAAGAAATTTGTGGAACTAAATTCCTAGTCTTCTTCTATTTTTTTTAATCACTATTTTCTTCAAAGAGGTCCAGTTTTTCTCCCCCACCCTTTTCTTCTTCTTTTCAGCACAATCTCCACCATGTGTTTTTCCATTTCTTTATGAGGGAAAATATTATCCTTCGTGTACCACAGATGGTTCCAGCAGGGATATGTCCTGGTGTGCATTAACTGATAACTATGATGAAAAACGCCTATGGAAACAATGTGCTGTTACTGGTAAGATGTACTACTAGTACCACTATACTACATCCAACAGTTTGGGGATTAATGCAGCCTTCTCAAACATGGGTTCTTCATGTAGGAAGCACATCACAATAGTAGTGGGGGACTTTAACTACCCTGACATCAACTGGGAGACAAACTCTGCACCAAGTGGTGGAATCAAACAGATTCCTGACAAACCTAGCAGACAACTGTCTCCCAAAAAGTAGAGAAGGGAACTAGAGGATTAGCCATTTTGGATCTAATTCTCACTAACAGAGATGAAATGATAGAAGGTGTTAAAGCCATAGGAATCTTGGGAGGAAGTGATCATGCAATATTGGAATTCAACATTATGGAAACACAAGCAATAGAACACAGTCAAACTAGAGTCTCAGACTTCAAGAGAGCTAATTTCAATAAACTTAGAGAGGCCTTGGGAAAGATTCCATGGATGAGAATCCTCCATGGGAAAACAACTCAAGAAACTTCGGAAATTTTGAAAAGTGAGATAACAAAAGCACAGTCTAACACAGTGGTTCTCAATCTTTTTAATGCTGCAACCCCCCCACTGGTCGTAAGTCGAGGACTACTCAACTGGTGCAGCACCATTTGCAGAATGGGACTTTTGGCGGGCTCAGCAGGGCAGAGACAGCCTGGACAATTCCTATTGGCATTTGGAAGCCAATAGATAACTCTATTCAAGAGAGTCTATTCTATTGGCTTTCAAAAGCCAATAGAATAAAAGGGAGTAGCACAGCTAAGGAAAAGGGGAAAAAATGGCGGACTGCATTGTTTGGCGACCCCTGTGAAATGGTTGTTCGACCCCAAATGGGGTCCCGACCCACAGATTGAGAACCACTGATCTAACACAATACCAACAAAGAGGAAAAATAACAGCTCTCAAAAGAAACCAGCATGGCTGCATAAAGAACTCTCTGATAAATTGAAAGATAAAAAGGACAAGTATAGAAAGTGGAAAGAAGGACACATAACTAAGTCAGAATATCAGCAAATAGCCTGAGCCTGCAAAGATGAACTGAGGAAAGCTAAGGCTCAAAATGAACTAAGGCTTGTGATCAAAGTCAAAAATAACAAAAAAAAGTTTCTTTCAACACGTAAAAACAAGAAAAAAGTGAAGGAAACAATTGATCCATTAGTGGGTGAAAGTGGCAAGAAGATGACAAGCAACAGGGAGAAAGCAGAACTATTTAACTAGTTTTTCGCATCTGTCTTTACACAAAGGGAAAAAACAGACCAACCTATCAAAAATAGTGCCATAAAAACAGAATAGAAACACAAGTTAAGATAGGCAAGAAAATGGTAAGTAAGCACCTGCCCAGCCTAGACGAGTTCAAATCACCAGGACCAGATGGATTATACCCCAAGGAACTGGCAGATGTGATCTCAGAATCACTGAACAATATTTTTCAAAGATCCTGGACCACTGGGGAACTACCGGAGGATTGGAAAAAGAGCTGATGTAGTTCCCATCTTCAAAAAAGGAAAAAAAATGGATCCAGGAAATTACAGACCTATCAGCCTGACCTCAATACCTGGGAAGATTCTGGAAAAGATAATCAAACAACGAATCAGCGAACACCTAGATGCAAACAAAGTCATTACTAAAAGCCAACATGGGTTTGTCAAAAACTGATCATGCCAGACAAATCTTATTGCGTTCTTTGACCAAGTGACAAAATTAGTGGACCAGAGGAATGCTGTGGATATAATTTACTTGGACTTCAGAAAAGCATTTGACAAAGTAGATCCCAACCTACTACTTGATAAGATAGAAAAAATGCAGGTTAGACAGCATCACCCACTAGATGGATCCGTAGCTGGCTGACTGGCCACACTCAGTGTGTGATCCTCAATGGAACCACATCTACATGAAGGGAAGTGTGTAGTGGGGTATCCCAGGGCTCTGTTCTGGGCCCAGTGCTCTTCAATATCTTCATCAATGATTTGGACGAGGGGATAGATGGGGAACTCATCAAATCTGCAGATGACACCAAGTTGGCAGGAATAGCCAACACTCCAGAAGACAAGCTGGATCTGGACAGACTTGTACACTGGGCGCTATCTAACAAAATAAAATTCAATGGTGAAAAAAAGTAAGGTTCTACATTTAGGCAAGAAAAATGAAATGTACAGGTATAGTGTAGGGGGTACCTTGCTCAATAGTAGTAACTGTGAGAGGGATCTCAGAGTCCTAGTGAACAATCATTTAAATATGAGCCAGCAGTGTGCTGCAGCTGCCAAAAAAGCCAACACAGTGCTAGGCTGCATTAACAGAGAGATAGAATCAAGATCACGCGAAGTATTAATACCACTCTACAATGCCTTGGTAAGGCCACACTTGGAATACTGCATCCAGTTCTGGTCACCACAATGTAAAAAAGATGTTGAGACTCTAGAAAGAGTACAGAGAAAATCAACAAAGATGATTAGGGGACTGGAGGCTAAAACATATAAGGAACGGTTGCTGGAATTGGGTATGTCTAGTTTAATGAAGAGAAGGAGGAGGGGGGACATGATAGCAGTGTTCCAATATCTCAGGGGCTGCCACAAAGAAGAGGGAGTCAAGCTATTTTCCAAAGCACCTGAAGGCAGGACAAGAAGCAACGGATGGAAGCAACCTAGAACTAAGGAGAAACTTCCTGACAGAACAATTAACCAATGGAACAACCTGCCTCCAGAAGCAGTGAATGCTCCAACACTGGAGGTTTTTAAGAAGAGACTGGACAGCCATTTGTCTGAAATGGTATAGGATTTCCTGCCTGAGCAGGGGGTTGGACTAGATGACCTCCAACGTCCCTTCCAACTTTATTATTATTATTATGGATCATCGCACAGTCAGCCAGATGTTCAGACTGGATTTGGCATTTTGTCTACCTATCGAGTCCTTACCTAGGATCTGGGATAGGCAGATGTGGATGTTTGATGGTATTACAGATATCGTCGCAGGATGGAAGCAGTTCCTAGTAAGGCTGCCTTTTGCAATTGACTAATAGTGAATTTGTCATTGCCAATGGTATTCAAGTGGTGCTCCAGTTGTTTTGGGATTGCACCCAAGGAGCCTATCACTATTGGTACTACCCTTGCTTGCTTTTGCCACAGTCTTTCTATTTCTATATGTTGGTCTTTTTATTTTGTTATCTTCTCCAATTCTTTCTCTTCTATTCTGCTGTCTCCAGGCACTGCCACGTCCACTATCCAGACATTTTTGTCTTTCTTATCGACAATTGTTAAGTCTGGGGTGTTATGTTGCAGGTGCTTGTCTGTTTGAATTCTGAAGTCCCAGAGCAGTTTAATTTTATCATTTTCTATGACTTTCTCTATTTTATGATCCCACCAGTTTTTGCTTACAGGCAAATGATATTTTTTGCAGATCTTCCAATGCACCATTGTTGCTACTTTGTCATGCCGCTGCTTGTAGTCAGTCTGTGCAACAGCTTATCAGGTGGTCCACTGTTTCTTCAGCTTCTTTGCATAGGCGGCACTTACTGTCTGTTGCTGTCTTCTCTATTTTGACTTTATATGCATTTGTCCTTAAGGCTTGGTCTTGTGCAGCCAGAATTAGTCCCTCTGTCTCTTTCTTCAATTTTCCTGCTCTTAGCAATTGCCAGGTCTTGTTATTATCTGCTTTCCCAGTTATTTTTTTAATGTATTGGTCATATAGTGCTTTGTCTTCCCATGCCTTTATTCTGTTCTTCATTTGGTCTTTCTTGTAGGCCAGTTTGGTCTCTCCAGTAGTCAGTAAGCCTTCCTGATATACTAATTTCAGTGCATGTTCATCATTGTTCTTCCGATATTCTTCCAAAGCCATTGTTTCTTCTTCAACCATCTGATGTATTTGTAGCATTCCATTGCCTTGGTAAATAAAGTTTATCAATGTCACTGCGTGGATGAAGGGCATGATTCATTGTCATTATTTTTCTGGTCTTCCTATCCATTGCTTTTAGTTCTGCTTGAGTCCAGTCCACTATTCCAGCTGTGTACCTAATGACTGGGATTGCCCAGGTGTTGATTGCCTTTATGGTATTTCCTCCATTGAGTTTGGACTTTAAGATCTTCTTCACTCTCTTGATGTATTCACCTCTAATCTTTTTCTTGACTTCAGTGTGCTTGATGTTGTCAGCTTGAAGGATACCCAAGTATTTGTAGTAATCTTCCTCATCCAGACTCTTAATGTTATTTTCGTGGGGCATCTTGATTCCTTCAATTTTCAATACTTTTCCTTGTTTGATAGTAAGTTTGGCACATTTGTCCAAGCCAAACAAATGTGTCTCCTCCTCCTCCTCCTCCTCCTCCTCCTCCTCCTCCTCCTCATTATTATTATTATTATTATTAGTGCTGGGACTGCCGATACATGCATTCCCCTTTTATATATCTCATGGCTATGCTGGCTAAAAAATGTGGAAGAATTTACTACACAACTGACTGCCCCAGTCTATGATAAACTCCCATTCTCAGAGGTATTATTAGAAAGTCCTTGAATTATTTTTGACAATATGATCTGCAATTAGTGTAAGGTCGGACTGAATCACAAAAAATGGAACAGAAACTTCTTTTTCACCTGCAACATACAGAATTTTTTTCGTGTGTTCTAAGAAAATTTTAGTGCCTTTACATGACAACTCATGGGAATACTAAAATCTTGTGAAGTGCTATGGTCTTATACAATTTCTGCTGTTATCTTTCATGTTGTGGATCCTTGCCCAAATTCTATAATTTTGTGTCACATCTGCTTTATGGACTGCCTTTTGATGATGGAATGTGATATTACAGTATATTGTATCCAGGAAATATGGCTAGTGGGAAAATGTAAAAAAAAAAAAAAATTAAGCCACATACCACTGTTTATCAGCCATTTTCTTCATAATACCGAGCAATGTGATCATGCCCAGAGCAGCCACTAGGTCTATTCATGCACATTCTGAAGCATATTTTTCAAATCATTTTTAAAGTATGCAGAGTTCTATTTTGTATTACAGTATTTCCTATAATCC